GCGACAGAGTGAGACTCCAACTCAAAAAAAATAGAAAATAAAAGTTGACTCAGGCCAGGTATGGTGGCTCATGCGTGTCATCCTAGTGCTTTGGGAGGTTGAGGTGGGAGGATCGCTTGAGACCAGGAGTTCGATACCAGCCTGGGCAATATAATAAGACTCCCCCTTCCTTCTCCACAAAAAAAAAAAAATTTTGAAAAATTAGCCGGGCTTGGTGGCATGCATCTATAGTTCCAACTACTTGGAAGGTTGAGGCAGGAGATCACTTGAGCCCTGGAGTTCGAGGCTGCAATGAGCTGTAATCACACTACTGCACTCCAGTCTGGAGAAAGAGAGCTCTTGTCTCAAAAAAATAAACAATTTTCTTCCCAAACTTCTAGTGCTTTGAGAGACTCTTCCTTTTTGCTACCTTGCGAGCCACATGATCATAATGTTTCAGAGGTCAAAGTCATTTTCTTTCATTTTTCCTTATTTCAATAGCTTTAGAGGGTACACATAGTTTTTGGTGACATGGTTGCCTTGTATAGTGGTGACGAAGTCTGGGCTTTAAGTGAATTCACTATCCCCACCTATGCACATTGTACCTGATAGGTGGATTTTTTGTCCCTCCACCCCCTTCCCCCTTCTGAGTCTCCAACATCTACTACATGTTCTCAATGTCTTTTCAGGTCCTTAGTTTAGCTTCCACTTACACGTGAGAACATGCAGTGTTTGGTACAACATTGTTTTAGCGGTCATTACATAAAGTTCAGAGAAGTTAAGTTTGAGACACCAAGGAGGACACAAAAGTGAGCAAGACACAAGCCTTGTCCTGGAGCAGCTCAAGCCTCCAGGACATCTACATGGGGCTGCAGAAATGGTGCTGAGGGAGGGAGGGACTCATTTTGCAGGACTGGAAATGTCCCCAAAGGTGCAGCTGGGCCTTATCTGAGCAGAATCAGGACAGCTTGGAGGGAACCTTTATCTGAGAATCGGCTTGGAGGGAGCCAAGAAAAGGCTCAGGGCTTTGGGGCACATTGGGTCTGGAGTTTTGGGTGAGTAGCCCAGGCTGGACAGGCGGACAGAGGTCAGTTATCCAGGCTGGCCTGCGTCACTAGGGATCTGCGGAGCTAAGGGAGCACCAGCGTTTCTAAGCAGAGAAATGATGAGGGCGAAAAGGCCCGTGACAACATGGAAAGGGGGCTTAGAAAGGAGAGCCGGCAAGTCGGGAGATACCACAAGACATAAGGAGATGGGGAATAACCGAGATGAAGTGGGGGTGGGATGATAACGGGTTTGTTTTGGTACATGTTGGGATATGGAGGACATAAAGGGCCAGCACCAGAACACAAGTTAGTTTTTTTTGAGTCTCACTCTGTTGCTCAGACTGGAGTGCAGTGGCCTGATCACGGCTCACTGCAGCCTCGAACTCCTGGGCTCAGATTCTTCCGGCCCAGCCTCCCGAGTAGCTGGAACTACAGGCATGTGTCACCATGCTGGCCAGAACACACTATTTTTTTTTTTTTTTTTGAGTTAGAGTCTCACTCTGTCACCCAGACTGGAGTGCAGTGGCTGCTCCCAGAACCAGGATTTGACCCAGACAGTCCAGATCTCGGGGACATGCTAATAACCACCACGCTATATTACCTGTTTATCTGCCTACTACTTGTATTAGATTTCTCATGTGCATGCAGAGTAGGGAGAATAAAGAAGTGGCAATTGGAACATGAAATTTGGTCAGGTGCAATGACTCACATCCGTAATTCCAGTGCTTTGGGAGGCTGAGGTAGAAGGATCACTTAAGGCCAGAAGTTGGAGAGCAGCCTGGGAAACATAGCAAGACCCTGTTTCTACAAAATTTTTTTAAATAATTAGCTAGGCATGGTGGCAGGTGCCTGTAGTCCAAGCTACTTGGGAGGCTGAGGTAGAACTGCTTGAGCCCAGGAGTTGGAGGTTACATTGAGTCATGATTGTGCCACTTCACTCCAGTCTGGAAGATAGAGACCCTATCTCTCAAAATAAATAAAAAGGTGAAATAAAAAATTAGTTGGCCTGGCGCAGTGGCTCGCATTTATAATCCCAGCACTTTGGGAGGCCAAGGTGAGAGGATTGCCTGAGCCCACGGATTCAAGACCAGCCTGGGCTACATAGTGAAAACTTATCTCTACAATAAATCAAGACAAATTAGCCAGGCATGGTGGCATGTGCCTGTGGTTCCAGCTATTTGGAAGGTTGAGGCAGGATCGCCTGAGCCTGAGCCTGAGCCCAGCAGGTCGAGGCTGCAGTGGGCGACAGTGACTCCAACTCAAAAAAAAAAAAAAAAAAGTGACAGGAAAGGCATGAGCGTATGCAAAGGCAAAGAAGAGCCTGCATCCCCCTACTACCCCTGATCTGGGATCCTAGGTGAGAACCTGAAAGCAACATCCAGGGATTAATGGGAGTGGGGTGCATGGGAGCGTGCCGGATCCCACAGCCCCAACATCGTGGCTCCTGTCCCTGAAGGCCTGGAATGTGTTTTTCTTTCCTCCTCAGCTCCAAGCCAGGCCTCTGGAACAGGCAATTCCTTGGTGCATGGTGGACATTCCATCTGAACAATGCAGAAAGTTCCTGGCCTTGCACTGGCAACGGGAAGAGTTCCCGAAGTACAGGACTCCACATGTTGCTGGAGCTCCCGGAGAAACACAGGGGGTGGGCTGCCAGAACCTGGATGAACGACCCCTGGCACCCCACTTAGCTCACGTTCACAGTTAGTCACTGCAGGCTGCAGGTAAAAGGGACCCTACTTTTGTGGACTCTAAGAGAACCACGCCCTGAGAGGCCACAGTGGAGCTGGTACAGGAAGAAAGTCTTCGTCCGAGGAGAGGTGGTGGGTGAGTGGGGCTGGGTAGTAGCTGGATTTGGCAGGGAGAGTATCTGGGAACAGCTACTCACTACTTCCTCACCTCGGCAGGTGGATTCAGCCAAGCAGTGAGAGGTGTTGCGTTAAATCCTCTCTGAAAATTAGGTGGGATAAAAGCCAACATTAAAAGTATAGTGTGCTCTTGCCAGTGCAATTCACACTCAACTAAGGATTCTGGGGACATCATCTTGGCCCACTGCTCCCCTCTTTCCCTGAACTTATTTTTAGCAGTTCTAGAAACCTGACTGCTCGAAGCTTGGTCTCTTCAAGCTCCCCTAGGAGCCCCAGGTTAGGCCAGGATGGCATCCTTATTATCTCCCAAGCTAAAACTAAGAGCTCACGTGTCCAGTAGGCATCTCCCATGTGCTGGGCACTGCTCTCAGAACTCTGCATATCTTAACTCACAGAGCTGCCCTCGCTCAGGTGGGCCCTGCCAGTGTCTTCAGTGTGCCCAGAAGGGCAGAACCCAGGAAGCAGGGGAGCCAAGGAGGCTGAAGGTTCTGGAGAGCAAACCCAATGTTATAGAGTTGGAGGCTTTTATGAAACCGTTTACCTCAGCAAGGGGATGGGATGGGCCTGCATTCCATCAGTTAGGCCATGGCCTCTGAGGGAGAACAGTCCCCTAACCACAACGCTTACCAAGGCAGCCAAAAACTGCTGAGAAAACCTTTCTATCTAAACCCACTTCCTCTGAGCAGGAATCAATACATAAACAAACATGTTTCTTACTGCAAAAGTGGCCATATCTCAGTGAGTACTGGGTCACCCAACTGACCACAGGCAGGCGGGGTAGGCAGGTCAGGGGCTCATCTTTGAGGACAGAAGCATTCGAGGCCTCAGCCCAGCCTGCCATGGCCACCTGATCCACAGGGCTTCTCCTTATAGCTCCATTCCCGTAAGCAATGGAGTCTGTGTGACAGCTGGTGATTGGGCAAGGGACGTTAGCGTGGGCAAGGGTAGCATGCCTCAGTGAGCTGATGACCACTGCAAGAGGCCAGCCAGACGGCCAATGGAGCCAGAAGCTGAACAGGTGGGGCAGGAGTTGGCATTCTCTCAGAGGGAGAGGGACTAAGAGCCACGGACAGTTTGCTAGGCCAAGAGCCTCCTCAGTGCTCAGAATGCAGTCCCCTGGGGCTCCCTTGTGCCCTTCTAGTCTAAGGACAACTTCACCTCCACACTTAGCACCCAGATTTCTCCTTTCTTAATTCCTGGACTTATTTCAGCTCTGGACCCCCCAAAAGGAGGTGACCAGGCAAAGATCGGGGAGAAGCACGGGCTGACATTAATTGATAGGCGCGGCTTCGAGCAGTTCATGCTGCCTTATCTCTCTCTCCTTCGGATAGCGTGTGTCCGCCAGCGTCCGCGGGGTCGGTGATTAATAGGGGCCATCACTCACTGTCCAGGACGGCTGAAAGGCAGCAGGGAGGGGGCGGCCCTCCCCAGAACTGAGATAACAAGCAGCAGGAATAATGAGCGGTGTCACTCCACTTTTCATTTTGATGGAAAGTCATTACGGGAGTCAACGCCAGCGACAAAGAGCCATGAATCAACTGCTCTGCTATGAAATTAAAATCGAATTGCCGGCCACCCCCAGCCCCTACCCTTCCTGGGAAATGGGGATGGGTAGATGGCTTGGGAGAGGGCACTGCTATCCTGGGGTAGGCGCGATCCGATTACAGAGCAGGCAGTTGTGGGCAGGAAGTGGACAGGCAGCCAGTGAAGGTGACAGCCCCTGTCTCCACCTTGTTTACCACCTTGTTTCCTCCCCAAACCGCACTTTCCCTCTGCCTGGAGGTAAGCTGTGATTAAAAGGAAAAGGCGGCTTTGTCGGCTCCAACAAGGCTGCCGCTTGACACTCCCCTCGGGCTTCGGGCCTGAGTGGGGCAGCTGGGCTTGGCCATGGAGAAGGGGCCCAGCTGGCTCAGCTGCCCCACAGTCCCCTACTGAAGCATCTGTAGAGTTGGGGTCCTCCTTATCATCAGCAGCAAAGAAGAGAGTGCTTAACTAGGGGTTCCACGTGACAGCAGATGGCCGGGGTGCCCACCTGGATCAAGAACCCCACGAGAACAGGTGCAGAGCCTCAACTCCAGGCTCAGAGCAGCACTAAAGGGACCGTCAGTGGTGAAGCAGGAGCCTTTTCCTCTTTTATTAAGTCTACTAGACTACCTAGGAGCAGCTGTGGCTTCAGGCTGACAGCCCGCAGGCAACCGAGACAGCATCTAGGAGTGGGCACAGTGAGTGCCCGCATCACCATACGGGAGATGGTCCCATCCGAGGCTTTCTGTCCTTCAGTTTGTCTGGTGCTGTGCCAAGAAGAGCTCCGAAACATCAGGCCCGCTGTCCCACCTCCACCTGAGGACTGGGAAGCTGGGTGGGCAGCAGCGCAGAGGGGGTCACAGGGAGGTTCCCATCAAGTTCACAGGGCGCCCACTGTACCTCTTGGAGATGTCAGCTTCAATCTGAAAAACAGCAGTTCCCCGTGGGCAAGATCAGAGGTGCAGGGCTGCAGCCTGCAGAAGTAGGTCCGCATGAAGACAGGCTCCCGCCCGATCTCACCAGCCTCTGCAGCTCCCGGGTCTTCTCCAGCAGCAGGTCCAGCTTGGGCTCCAGGGCCGCCTGCTCCTGAAGTGCCTCCTGCTGCTTCTGAACCATCAGCTCCTTCTTCAGGGCCAGCAGCTGAGACTGCTTCAGTTTTTGCTGGAGGAACTCCGTCACTCGGTCCACGTACCTGCGCCGGGCACTCAGGTGGGTGTCTGGCGGAGCCGTGCACCCTGAGCATCCCCATTCAAAGGCTAGGAAAGGTGAGGGCTGGGAAACCAAAACCCTAACTGGACTCTTCCCCTTACACCCTTAAACCCTCTTGTAAGGGAATGACCGCTCCTGGCTCCCATCCAACTCGGGAGTCAGATTCTGCCTGCACACATCTGCCTGCCTAAGAGCACCCCTCTCCCCAGTAGAGGGTGATGGCCAGGAGGCAGGGGTGAGGTCTAACGGGTCACAGGAGAAGAGGAGGGACACAAGGAGGCAGAGCCACTCAAGATGGCAGAGCCCTGCGTCAAGGAGAAAGCCAGACCTTGGTGAGGCCAGGATCATAAACAGGTGTTGCATTCGAAGGCTGGTGAGCCGGCCAATCAGATCCTGCAGCACTGACACCATGGTAACCATCTTCTCTTTGGTCTGGCCCTGCAGGATGGCTGGAGCCAGCTGGAACTGGCTCACCGACAGGAGGTCTGCCTCCTCACTCATCTCCACTGCTCTCTGGGATAAGAAGGTCTCCAGCTGAGGATAGAAGAAAAATTAGTTCAGGCTGGGCATGGCGGCTCACGTCTGTAATCCCACGCTTTGGGAGGCTGAAGCGGGAGGATCACTTGAGGCCAGGACACAGCAAGACCCTGTTTCTACAAAAAATGAAAAAACTAGGTGGCTGTGGTGGTATACCCCTGTAGTCCCAGCTACTCAGGAGACTGAGACAGGTGGAACCCAGGAATCTGAGGCTGCAGTGAGCTAGGATAGTGTCACTGCACTCTAGCCTGGGTGACAGGGTGAGACTCTACATCTGAAAGAAAAAAAGAGAAATTGGTTCAAACTGAGAAAACAAAAGAACTCAGAAGCTAAGCCCTCAGACTGCTCAAAATGCAAAATGAGATGTGCAGGCCAGACTCGGGGTAAGGAGGGGTTACTCTCTTTGAACACTTGTATTGCTAAGAACTCACACACCCCATGTGAGTGCTCAGGGCCGCCTCCATTGTCACTCTCTGGTGCCCCATTCCTACCTCAGGCCTACCTAGCTCTGGACCTCCATCCTTCCTCCCCAGCCTACAGATCAGATAGCTGAGAATACAGAGACTCAAAGAGTTCTCTTTGCCTCAGTGAAGGAATCAATTTTTCTCTTCCAAGAAGGAATAGGATTCTGGGAATAGGAATCCATGTTTGAGAAGCCCTGGATTAAGAATAGGCCTAGCCGGGCTCGGTGGCTCAGCCTGTAATCCTGCGCTTTGGGAGGCTAAGGTGAGTGGACTGCCTGAGCCCGCGGGTTCGAGACCGCCTGGGCAACTTGGCAAGACCTCATCTCTACAATAAATCAAAAAATTAGCCAGGCGTGGTAGTGTGCCTGTAGTTCCAGCTACTTGGAAGGCTGAGGCGGAAGGATTGCTGGAGCCCGGCAGGTTGAGGCTGCAGTGGCCGGGAGCGTGCCACTGCACTCCAGTCTGGGGGACAGAGTGAGACTCCAACTCAAAATAAATAAATAAATAAAAGAATAGGCCTATGGGCGTGGTGGCTCACGCCTGTAATGCCAGCACTTTGGGAGGTCGGGGCGAGTGGGATGCCTGAGCCTGTAGGTTTGAGACCAGCCTGGCAACTTGGCGAGACCTCATTTTTACAATAAATCAAAAAAGTTAGCCAGGCATGGTAGCCTGCGCCTCCAGCTCCAGCTACGTAGAAAGCTGAGGCAGAAGGATCTCTGGAGCCCAGCAGGTCGACGCTGTGGTAGCCGTGAGTGTGCCTCTGCACTCCAGCCTGGGCGACGGAGTGAGACTTCGACTCAAAATAAAAAATGAGAACCAGTCACATATCTTGTCAATCTTATTCTACCATAAAAACTTGATACCCTTTGTCCTCCTCTCCCCTTGAGACCGGGAGGTACCCCTCTGGGCAGAAAGAGGGGAGAACAGGGTGAAGACAGTGCTTTCAACTCTGCCCCACCACAGGCTACTGGGCAGGGAGCAGGCCCGGTATGAACCAAGGCAGGGCTGTCTTCCCAACCCCGTAGAGAGAGTCCTGCTCCACACCTTGGCTCAGATGTTGTACTTAACACACACGAGGCCACGCTGTTCCCACCAGCTCAAAGCCCCCAGTACCTTCCCAGTCCATTCAGAGTCAAGTCACAGTTCAGACTCTGCCTCTCTGAGCTCCCCCACTCAGTCACACTGGCCTCCTTTTTGGTCAAATCCATTTGCAAGGCGTGCTCCCACCTCGGGGCCTCCATAGGCTGACTCTGCCTGGGAAGCCCTTCTGCCACACCACATGGCTTCCTGCACTGCCTGCAATCTCGATGACAGGCCACCTTCTCACCAGACATAGTACCACAGCCCTTCCCGGCGAACCCTGTCACCCTTCTCTGCTTTCTTTTTCTCCGTGGCATCAGAATCATCTAATAGCCCACATATTTGCTTACTCATCTTCTTTCTCGTCTGCCTCCCCCCCAGAATATAAGTTCCATGAGATCAAGGACTTTGTCTTGTTCACTGCTCAGTTTCTGGCGCCTGTGGCAGTGCCAGGCGCTTAGGGGGTACCTGAAAAATACGAGTTGAGTGAGTGGGGGGCATGCTAGCACATGAGGCTCCTCCTGCAGGACACGGAGAGCACTCGGCACCCTCCACACAGACAGGAGGGCCAGGCAGGCATCTGGAGGGATGCAGCCTGTGCTGGAGCCATGCTCCCCATGCCTCCCAGGTGACAGTACCTCCATGAGCTCATCAATGAACTGATTCCGGGTCTCAGGGTATTCGAGAAGAGTCAGAGCGTCTGGGCCCCTAGCAACACCTTCTGGAGCTGCCAGGAAGAGATGGAGAAGCGATCAAGGATCTGAGGACTGGAGGGAAAAGACTCAAGTCTGAGAGGCCCTGTGGATTTACATGGATATAGACTCACTGCACTAAAGCCACTTCCTGTCCCAACCCAGGGGTGAAGGCTACCCATTCCCATGTGTCTTGGTCCTAATCAGTGCTTACTTTCCAACCCCAGCCTAAGAGCGCAGGACCACAGAGGAGCAGAAAGGCGACCAGCTCTCTGTTCTGGTGGGCACAGGAGGTTAAGTTTCATCCTGCACTGCCCTCTAGTGGCTCAGATGCTGCTAGACCTCTCTGCTGATGGGGAAGGGGGCTGGGTCAGACTCCAAGGCTCACCGACTCCCCCACCACCAGGGTCCCCTGTAGTGCTGGCACGTCTAGTCTCTAGAAAGTTGAGAGTTTCTAGATGTAATGTGAGACCCTCTCCTGGTCCCCCGACTCACATCCTCATCAAGATCATGAGACAGTTCCATATGTGAGAAGCCTCATCTCAGCAGTACAGGTTTTGTTTTTAGACATGGGGCTCCTGAACACCCCACTTCTGCCAGGGCTGCAAGGGATGGTGCACCTACCCTGGGTTCCCGTTTCCAGCACTGTAATCTGCAGAGCAGCAGCATCGTCTCCCCAGTCTATCCCATCACCCCCAGGGTCCTGGAGGGAGAGCAAAGAACCCCAGCATGCTGGGAGAACTTTCCTGAGACAAGGAGCCAGAATAAACCAAAGCCTTTGATGAGCTCCATGGTGCAATGTTCCAACTGGCTTAAGGACTTGCGGCAGGGCATGAGGGCTCACACCTGTAATCCCAGCACTTTGGGAGGCAGAGGCAAGGGGATTGCCTGAGCCCACAGGTTCGAGACCAGCCTGGGCAACATGACAAGACCTTGTCTCTACAATAAATCAAAAAATTAGCTGGGGGTGGTGGTGTACGCTTGTAGTTCCAGCTACTTGGAAGGCTAAGGTGGAAGGATTGCCTAAGCCCAGTAGGTCAAGGCTGGTGGTGGCCATGAGTGTGCTACTGCTCTCCAGACTGGGCGACAGAGTATGACTCCTACTCAAAAAAAAAAAAAAAGGGACTTGCAGGACAGTGGTGTGGGCCCATTTATATTGTTGCCCTCATCTCTGCTGTGTAGAGGCTCCACCAGCCTATACCCATACCTTGTCCCAAACATCAAGAGGAAAGAAGATCAAAATCTGACTAGGTACAGTGACTCAAACCTGTATCCCAGCATTTTGAGAGGCTAAGGTGGGAGGACTGCTTGAAGCCAGGAGTTCGAGACCAGCCTGGGCAATATAGTAAAACCTCATTTCTACAAAAAAATCTAAAAATTAGCAAGGTGTGGTGGTGCATGCCTGTAGTCCCAGCCACTCAGGAGGCTGAGGCAGGAGGATCCCTTGAGCCCAGGAGTTCGAGGCTACAGTGAGCTATAGACAAACCACTTCATTCCAGCCTGGGCAACAGAGGAAGACCCCATCTCCAAAAATAAATAAAAACAGGCTGGGCGCAATGGCTCACTCCTATAATCCCAGCACTTTGGGAGGTTGAGGTGAGAGGATTGCCTGAGCCCACGAGTTTGAGACCAGTCTGGGCAACTTGGTGAGACCTCATCTCTACAGTAAATCAGAAAAATTAGTCGGGCATGGTGGCACATGCTTGTAGTTCCAGCTACTTGGAATGCTGAGGTAAGTATTGTCTGGGACCAGTAGGTCAAGGCTGTGGTAGCCGTCAGTGTGCCACTGCACTCCAGCCTGGGCAACAGAGTGAGACTCCAACTCAAAAAATTAATTAAATAAATAAATAAAACAAAACAACCGTGACATTTTGCGTTTGAAACTTGGCCTCCCTTGGACAACAACTGGACATGGAGCTATGCAGTACTTCTAGCAGTGCCTTTGCAGACACAAGTGACACTTCTCAAATCAGTGATCACAGAAAGATGAACCGAGAGGGCATCCTAACCTTTGAGTCCGATTCCAGGGCGATGCCCCAGTCGATTCCAGCAGCCTCGGCAGAGATGCCAGGGTCAGTACTCTCAGAAACTGCCTCCACCCCAAAGTCACCCCAGTCAATCTAGAAGGGGGAAGAAAAGACTGTTAGAGAGCAGACGGTCGATTAAATAAAGGGGGGAGCAGCCTCCCCACAGGTCTCCGCTGCTTTCTGGGGAGCACACTGTTCCAATGCAATGGCCTCCAGGCTCCCCCAGAGAAAACCCATCTTCAGAGAGCTCACGTGACAGTGTGTGCCTAGTTCAAAGCAAACCAGCTTGCGGAGCCCTGTGGCAATCACCTGTATGTAGAACAGAGCAGCGGGGCCCTCTGGGCCATTCTGCCTACAATTTCTCTCACAACGCGACCTTCCTTTTGGGGCTCTGAATCTGGGTCTTAGGGTCGGGGCTGTGTCAGGGGAGCAGCTCTCACCTGCTCCTGCCCGTTGGGTGGCGGGCGGTGCAGAACAGGCTCATCTTACCGCGTCTTCTTCCACCTGCTCAGGAGGCTCCTCAAGCTGTGGCTGCTCCACCACGGAGGGCGCTGTCCCCGTCCTCCACTCGTACACTGTTGTATGTCCCCGACTCTGCACAAATCTCAGCATTGGCAACACCTGCGCTGTAGGGCTTCAACAAAGCACATAACTGATTCTCCCGCTGGCCACTCGCAAGCCAACATGGGGCTTCCACCTGGGCCCTGTAGTCAGATGGGCAAGGCTCCCATGGGTCCCAGCGTGTAAAATACAGCTCAAGTGTCATGTGAGAGAAATACAAGGGGAGGAGAAAGGCAAGCCGGGGGAGATAAGCACTCCTGCTAGAGAGCAGCAGAGGTTCTCTTTACCTCTCACACACAAACCCCACGCAGGCCTGGTACAGGTCGATGGCCTCCCCCAGGGACTGTGCCGCGGCCCCAATCTCAGTCAGCTGACTTGGCAGGTCCTTCACCAGGGCCAACAGTTCTCTTCGGACATTATCGCCCTGCAGAGGAGAGAACAGGGCTGAAACAGAAGTGGTGAGGGATGGAGTACAACAGGAAACATCCAGGACCAGAGACAGGGGCACGACCCGGCAGAGGAGTCAGATGGGACCAGAGGAAGACAGGCAGAGGCCTGAACGCACCCCGCTGCGCAAAGCCTGTCCCGCTCACCGTGATGCCATACTGCTTGCAAGAGTGGTAGAACTGCTCCCGCATCTCAGCAGCCCCTGCCTGGCCCTCCTCCTCCTTGCGGCTGTACTCTTGCTGCAGTTGCTGGCACTTGGCAATCTGTTTCTTCAGTGACGGGATCTCATAGTTGACGTTCCGAACCAGGAGGCTGGAGAGTTCCACTGAGAAAGGCCCGGGAAACTCAGCCAGGAAACACACACATAGGCAGGCTCGTTCCAGGATACACGGACACACCTCACGTGGTGGTGAAGAGCACAGGTCGGCTTCCCAGCCCTACCCCTTCTCAGCTGTGGGGCCTGAGACCAGTTACTTAACCTCTCTAATCCACCCTCATGTGTGCAACAGCGACACAGCATTTGCCACAAGGATGCAAGAGAATCACACCAAACACCAAGCACAATTCCTTGCACTTAGTAAGTGCTCAGTGAATGTCAGTCATTATTATGATCAGGACTACTCAAAAAGACAATGCAGGCCAGACTCGGTGGCTCAGCCTATAATCCCAGCACTTTGGGAGGCTGAGGCGAGTGGACTGCCTGAGCCTGCAGCTTCGAAACCCATTGGGCAACTTGGTGAGACCTTGTCTCTACAGTAAATCAAAAATTAGCCGGGTGTGGTTGTATGTGCCTGTAGTTCTGGCTACTTGGAAGGCTGAGGCGGAAGAATCGGTGGAGCCCAGCAGGTCGAGACTGCGGTGGCCGGGAGCGTGCCCACTGCACCCCAGTCTGGGCGACAGAGTGAGACTCCCACTCAAAAAAAAAAAAAAGACAACACAAACCACAAGTAGCCCTTTAGCTGCTCTTTCAGGCACTCTTCATCTGCAGCATGATTTTATAGAGCAACTGCCTTTACACAGGGATAAACAAAAACTTTAAACTGTCCTGGGGAAGACCCTTTCAGCCTAATGTCAAGTGGGGTGTGGAGCACACTGCCCCTAACAAGGAAAAACCCCAAATACCTGCTTGGTCAGACACAGCAAATGTCCACTCCCTACCTGATCCTCCTCCTCCCCCATGAGGGGGACATGGAAATGATTTCCACACCCACAAACAGGCAGCATCTACACTCCAACATCTGTACACAAGCCTGGATTGTCAGAACTCTAAGAGTGGGCTTCCCATGATGCCAGGACCCCCAGGCCACTTTACCTAAGTAGGTATTGTCCTTCTCATATAAAGCGACGATCTCCTGCCAATCCTGCGTAAGAACAGAAAGAGGAAGAAAACCAGAAGAGCTCTCAACAGTCACATCCCAGTTCAAGCCCTCAACAGGGGAAGCTCTCCCAGCCTGCACATCACACCAGGCACAAACTCCTCATCCTCCTCCAGTTCCTAAGGCTGACCGGGCTACCCACTTGACGTTCGGAGAGCAGAGCCAACAAGTGACCCCAAAGCAGTGGGGCTGAAGGCTTAAACCCCAGGAGGGATCTACTTTTAGAATAAACTATAGAGACAGTGGAAGTTCAGGAAATATCCTGCGGAGGCGTCTCCACTGGATCCTCAGAGAGACCAGAGCGGCTCTGAGCCCTCGGGCTGGATGTCCCTGGCCACACATTACCTTCCCGGCCCTCACTTGCCTTCATCCGCTGTGAAGAATACCGGCCAAAAATGTTTTTTGTGGAGGCCTCTGTGCCTTTGAGAAGGTCCACGATTTTTAGACAGTGGAAGTAGTGAATGTCTGGAAGTCAAAGAAGAGTAAAGACTTTGAGAACTAGTGAATTCCTCACCCATCCTGGCCACTGCAGGAGGCTGACTCACACACATGATATGGCCGGTAACTTTAGCGTGCAGCTCTTCCCTTCATCATTTCAGGCTAGAAGAAGCCAGTATCTACACCCCAGTTTACAACATCTCTCTCTAGGGATCAGCATTGGTGGCTAAACAAGGGAGCAGCTCAGTAGATACATTCTACTCCAGGAGAGAGGGGACTCCAGTGACAGCCCCAAAGCACTCACAGGACCCAGAGAGCAGCTGGGCGATCTCTTCGCTCTCTGGCATGTCCTGGATGGCTGCATTGATCTTCTCTCGGATCATCAGCACCAGACTCTGCCATTTCAGGCTGCAGTGCCTTCTGTCCACCAGCCAGTCTACAAGAGAAAACACCCAAGTCACAGTTTTCCCACCCATGTCACCAAAATTCCGCCACTAGTTCAAGTGAGAGACACTGAGCTGCTGGTCTAAATGTTATCTTTATATTGGTGCAGGCGTGGCATCATGGGAATAAAGACAGGCCCAAAGAGATGCCTGAGGCTAAACAGACTCTGAACCGGTTTCATCTGCAGGGTGATTTTATAGAGCAACTGCCTTTACACAGGGATAAACAAAAACTTTAAACTGTCCTGACATCAAAGTGCCACTTTTGACCATTCTAAATTCTCCATAATATTTCTGCTTCTATAGGTAATTATATCTTTGCAGGCAGAGGATGCTGTTCAACTTCCACTTCCTTAGGGCTGGAATTAACCATGACAATGGAAAATACAAGATGGTTATGCCAAGTACCAGATGAATGAACAACTGCAAAGCCCCTAATACCTACAGCGCCCCAAAGACTAGATAACACTAGTCTATCCTTAACAATGAAGAGCCTCTCTGTACATGTAAATACAATGGGATTGACCTCTCAGTGTCTGGGCCCAGCTTTATGACTTGAGAGCCATGCAGTTTCCTCCATAGCAGAGAGCTAAGAGCTAAGCTTTGTGGTCAGATGGCTGTGGGTTCCTTATATACATATTACATATTATGTATATACTATATACATATATATACACACATATACATATATGATAAAAATAGAGATGGGGTATCACTATGTTACCCAGGCTGGTCTGGAACACCTGGTCTCAAGCTATCCTCTCCCTTCAGTCTCCAAAAGTGCTGGGATTAAGCTGGGCATGGTGGCTCATGCCTATAATTCCAGCACTTTGGGAGGCTGAGGTGAGAGGATTACCTAAGCCCATGGTTGAGACCAGCCTGGGCAACATGGTGAGACCTTCTCTCTACAATAAATCAAAAAATTAGCTGGGCCTGGTGGTGCTACTTGGAAGGCTGAGGCAGAAGGATTGCCTGAGCCCAGCACATCAAGGCTGTGGTGATGGTGAGCAGCATGCCACTGTATTCCAGCCTGGGTGACAGAGTGAGACTCTGACTAAAAAAAAAAAAAAAACCAAAAGAAACCAACCAAACAAAAGTGCTGGGATTACAGGTGTGAGTCATGGCACCTGGCCTGTTGTAGGTTCTAGTGGTCAAGCTACTTGTAACTCTACCTCTCCATGCCTCAGTTTCCCCACGTGTAAAACGGGGATAAGGCGGCACTGAGTACGAGGGAGAATGCAGGTAAATCATTAAGCAAATAGCAAGGACTTAATAAATCTTAGTGACTTTCATTTTTATGTCAAGGGCCTAAAACAGCACGCAGCATAGAGCAAACCCTCAACGAACAGCTGTTTCATTGGTCCTTTTCATGACCGAGAACAGAATCACAACCAAGACTGCCCATGGGCTGAAGTGCTGGGACAAACGTGAAGAGCCACTAGCAGCCACTGTATGGGCGGGTCTGGTCACAGGTGGGACATAGGACAAGGCGCGTGGCCAGCACCTCAGCCAGGGCTTCGGGAGTTAGAGCTCCCGGCTGACAGCGTCAGGAGGCAAAGAACAGGTCTCCCCCCGACAGCTGGCTGCGCGGGGGCGCCCCTTCCTACCGAGCAGCTTGCTGGTCTGGATGTCGATGGGCACGTGCTGATGGTCCTGCAGGGAAACACGGCGGGGAAGGGGGCGTGAGCGCGGGGAGGGGCTGCGCGCTCATCTCGGGGTCCCAACCACCTCCCTGCGGTGCCAGGACGACGGGCGAGCAGCGCTGGACCCGGTGGAGACAGGGGACTCGGGTCGGGGGTCCCGGGGCCAGTAGCCCGCTCCCACAGCTCCCGTCCCCACACCTGCATCGCTCCTCCACTTCCGCTTCCGGTCGGAGACCCACGCCCACCCCGCCCCACCGCCAATCCAGTAGCGGTGCGGCCGCGCGGCGGTGGAGGCACAAACAGGCCTCCTTCCGCCACGTCGCCGCCTTCCGCTAAACCAATAAGAGAGCGCACGTTGCACTATCGGCCGCAAGTCCCGCCCACTCCGAATGGCTGAGCCCGGGAGGGGCGGGAGCACAGGGGCCAGCCATTGGGAGAAGCGAGGCGGGATCCAGGCCGGGGAGGGGCGGGGCGCCTGGAAGGGGCAGCAGCTTTGGTGCTATCGCGGCAGGCGGCGCCAGAGAGCTCAGCCGGGCCGGGGGTTCCCAGAGCCGGCCCTGAGCCATTCCCGCGCGGGATAACGACTCTGCGGGCGAAGTCCTAGCGCACCCCCTAAGGGGGGGAGGGAGGTTTTGAAAATGCCTTCTTATCTTTAAAATTAAAATTAAAAGGCCGGGCTCGGTGGCTCAACCTGTAATCCCAGCCCTTTGGGAGGCCGAGGCGAGTGGATTCCCGGGTCCACGGGTTCGAGACCCACCAGGGCAACTTGGCGAGACCTCGTCTCTACAATAAATCAAAGATTAGCCGGGCGTGGTAGCTCGCGCCTGTAGTTCCGGTTACTTGGAAGGTTGAGGCGGAAGGATCGCCGGAGCCCTGTAGGTCGAAGCTGTGGTGGCCGCCAGTGAGTGTGCCACTGCACTCCAGCCTGGCGACAGAGTGAGACTCCAACTCAAAAAAAAAAAAAAAAAAAAAAAGCTTTGTCTCTTTGAATCGCTTTACTGTCGGTAGCAGTCTGTAGGTCTCTTGTAGCACTTGTCACACTTTGGCCTCTCATTCAGATTATCTAATAGACATGGTTGAACACCTGCTATACGTTGGGCGATCAGGGCAGGGTAGGGAGGAGGGTCGGGAAGGCTCGCAAAGGCGACACCTGCACTGAATCTTAAAAGAAGAGCTGCAGAAAGGGGTGAAGTGGGGAAGAGTGTTTCAGGTGCCAAAGCTTTGGCAGCCACAAGCTGCAAGGGGGTGCCAGGAAGGCAGAATGGCCAACATCACTTGCGGTGTCCGGTGCAAAATGAAAATTCAGGCCCCCTTGTTAAAAATTAAGAATTATAGACGTGGATTATAGACGTGGGTGCGGTAGCTAACGTCTATAACCCCAGCACTTTGGGAGGCCGAGGTGAGAGGATTTCCTGAGCCCACAGGTTCATTCGAGACCAGCCTGGGTAACTTGGCGAGACCTCATCTCTACAATAAATCAAAAAACTAGCTGGGTATAGTGGCGCATGCCTGTGTTCCAGCTACTTAGAAGGCTGAGGCAGAAGGATTCCCTGAACCTAGCAAGTCGTGGCTGCGGTGGCCGTGAGTGTGCCACTGCACTCCAGCCTGGGCGACGGAGTGAGACTCTGGCTCAAAAAAAAAATTTGCTTGGTGTGGTGGCATGCGCCTTTAGTTCCAGCTACTTGGGAGACTGAGGTGGGAGGATCGCCTGAGCCCAGCGGGTTGAGGCTGTGGTGGCCGTGAGTGTTCTACTGCACTCCAGCCTGGACAACAGAGTAAGATTACGACTTTAAAAAAATTAGGAGCCAGGCTCGGTGGTTCAGCCTGTAATCCCGCGCTTCGGGAGGCTGAGGTGAGCGAATTGCCTGAGCCCGCGGGTTCGAGACCTGCCTGGGCAACTT